GCGGCGCCGCTCCCTGGCCTCCCCGGGGGCTGCCACGGTGCAGGCGGACCCTTTGTGCCTCGGCAGGGTGGGCAGCCGGAGCCCTGTGCCCCGCAGGCCGCGCTTGCCCAGTCCCGTCAGGCTCAGCAGGTCAGTGGAGCGGCCCCGGCGGAGCAAAGGGGCCCAGTCCGGTCTCTGTGCCCCCACGGGGGCCGTGGCGCCTGGGCTCCTGCCCCTGCTCCCAGGTCAGGACTTCCCTGCTGCCCGTGGGGCGGTCGGCTGTGCCCCCAGTTCAGGCGGAGCCCTGTGCCCCGCAGGCCGCGCTTGCCCAGTCCCGTCAGGCTCAGCAGGTCAGTGGAGCGGCCCCGGCGGAGCAAAGGGGCCCAGTCCGGTCTCTGTGCCCCCACGGGGGCCGTGGCGCCTGGGCTCCTGCCCCTGCTCCCAGGTCAGGACTTCCCTGCTGCCCGTGGGGCGGTCGGCTGTGCCCCCAGTTCAGGGCCCTGCCCCTGCCGCGGGCCAGCTGCTCAGCTCGGGGTGCTGGGGCCTGCGGGTGCCAGGCCCCCCCCCCACCACGCAGCGTCACCTTGAGCCCGCGCCGGCGCTAGGTGAAGGTCAGAGGCAAGGACTTTCCCCGCCCCAAAGTGCTGGCTCAGCACATTCCCTGCCTAGCCAGCCGTGAGGATGGAGCAGGCTTTGCTGGGGATTATGTGTGCAGCCCCTCCCTGCAGCGGGGACCCTGCCCCCCGCTCCCAGCGGCGCTCGCAACCCTTCTTGCAGCTGCCGTATGCTCGGCGCTGTACGTACGTACAGCTCTGGAGACCGCGGTAGCAGGGCCCGCAGCCTCCTGGCTCGGGCCCGCTCGCATCCTGCGAGCTGGAGGCTCCCGCGATGCCCAGGGCAGGTCGCACACCCCCCAGCACCAACATGGGACGTGCACGCAGCTGAGGTGGCACAGCCGGTCGTTGCTACCCCAGGGCGAGTCGGAGCCACCTGGCAACCGTGCCCACGGGAAGCTGCTCGCAAACAAACACGGAGCTGGGCGGGGAGCGCGGGCAGGGGGGTTAAGCCCCGGGCACCTGTTCCCGGGGCGTTTCCAGGCCAGGGCTGCAGCAGGGGAGCTTGGCTGGACCGAGCGTGCGGTAGCTAGCAGGCCCCTGGCACAGGCATCGTATGAGGCCCTGGGGGAGGCTGCGATGCCCCCGTGCTGCCAGCCAATGTGGAGCCAGCCCCCTGCTCCCCCTGCGCGTGGTGGGGCCGGGGCTGCCGGCTCCCACGCTCCAGGGTCGGAGCAACATCTGGAGCTGAGTGCAGCTGCTGGGGGCTCGCCCCGGGGTCGTGGGCAGGGCAGGGCAGGGCGCGCTTCCTGCAGGATGGGCTGGGAACGGGGTGCCCCTGGCTCCCCTGCAGCCTCTGGGGCCTGGGTGCTGGCAGGCAGCCTTGGGGAGGGGCCCTGGGGCTGGCCCAGGCCTGGCTTCCTGCCTCCCCTTCCTGGGCCCTGCTGGCTGGTGCTGGGGGGGCCGGGGGCCGGTGTCTGCTGCTTCCTGCTTCCTTCCCCCCAGTCCCAGCTTCTGGGACCTTCCCGGCCTCCCCCCACACACGCACGTGCACGGCCGTGCTCCCAGTCCTGTGCCCGGCTGGCTCGGAGGGATGGACGGAGGGGCGGCCGGGGCTGAGCGCCAGGGAGGGGGAGCCCCCTTGGGGGCGGCACATCCGCTTGCCGGCACATCTGGCGAGCAGCTGGTGGAAGCCAGGGCTCCCCCCTCCCCCAGCCCCGCAGGCCACATCTCCGGCCCCAGCCCGGGGTGTTTAGCACCTGGCTGTCAGACGCTCGCGTCTCCGGGCTCTGCCCCAGCCTGGAGACTGGCTCCCAGCAGGGCTGAGCCACTCCGGCACCCGGCTGCCCTCCAGCTGTGTCCACGCGGACCCAGGGCCCCTCCAGCCTCGACCTGCAGCACCGCTGCCCATCCCGGCTCCAGCGGGCAGGCCTGCTGCAGACAGTGCTCTGGTGCCCCGAGGACCCGGTGATGGGCACGGGGCTGGGAACCCCGAGGGGAGCAGGGCTGAGCCGTGCCCCGGCCTCTCCAGCGAGGGTCCCTGAGGGCTGGCTCAGCTGCTCCAGGCGTTAGACTGGAGGGGGCTGGGGCTGGGGGCTGGGCACTCCCCGGGCTGCCGGGGGGCGTCTGGTCTGACAGATGGAGACGCCGCGGGTGGGATTAGAGCGGCTTCCCCCCAAAGCTGCCTTTGGCTCGCGGCCCGGAGGGTCTGCTACTGGGTTCGGGGCACTGCCTCTGGGATGGCTCCACGGCCCCTCCCGGCTGCCTCGGGGGCAGTGGCCGAGCCAGTCCTGGCGACCACGGGGTCCCTGGCGAGTGCCGGAGCAGTCCCACGCCCCGCGTGACTGCCGCGTTTCCCTTGCAGCGAAGGCGTGTTCAAGTGCCCCGAGGACCAGCTGCCCCTCGACTATGCCAAGGTGAGAGCTCAGGCGCCTGGGTCCCGTGCTGGCCAAGTGACCCACTGCCAGAGCCTGCTCCCTGGCCACGTGGCGCTGGCTGGGCAGCTGTGGCCTCCACGTGTGGCGGGTTCCCCGGGGGGTGCCAGGTTGCAGCGTCTGCACTCCCCAGTCTGCCCAGTGCTGTGAGGCAGGTGTGGGGAGTGCCCATGTCCGCGTGGATGGGCCCAGCAGCCCAGGCCCCGCCCATCCCTGGCAGAGCCCCTGGCCTAGGCTGCGGTGCCCGAGCCAGCTCTGAAGCACCGGCCCCTTGTGCCGCCGCCCCCGGTAACCGACACCGTCTCTCAACAAAGCTGGCTTGTTTGGCTGCCCTACAGCCCTGCCAGCCAGCGGGAGCCATGCCGAGCCCCCGCCAGCCTGGTGGGAAGGGGGGAGTACGGCCCGGGGCTGGGGGCTCTGCACCAGGAGCGGGCCACTGTGGGCTGCGGGGCACCGGGCATGTTCCTCCCACCCTGGAGATGGAGGGGGTGGCTGGGGCAAGGGACAGCCAGGGTGGGGACACAGCCCCGGGAGCAAGCATGGGTGCAGGATGCCAGCTGCCAGCCCCTCCCCGCCTGTGCCCGCAGATCTACCCGGACCCCGAGCTGGAGTCGCAGGTGCTGAGCCTCACCATCCGCTGCATCCACAGCGAGGAGGGTTGCCGCTGGAGCGGGCAGGTCAAGCACCTCCAGGTGAGGGCTGGGGGGTGCCGTGCCATGCTACGGCCCCGCCGCCTGGCCCGTGCCCTGATGCCCATCCGTGCTCCCCCCAGGCCCATCTCAACACCTGTGGCTTCAACGTGATCCCCTGCCCCAACCGCTGCGGCCTGAAGCTGCAGCGCCGCGACCTGCCGGCCCACCTGCAGCACGACTGCTCCAAGCGCCGGCTGCGCTGCGAGTTCTGCGGCAGCGACTTCACCGGCGAGGCCTACGAGGTGCGCGGATCGGGCCTGGGGTGGGACAGGGACGGGCGGATGGGCAGTGGTGACGGCGCCGCTCTCACCCCCAGACCCACCAAGGCGCCTGCCCGCAGGAGAGCGTGTACTGTGAGAACAAGTGCGGTGCCCGCATGATGCGGCGCCTGCTGCCCCAGCATGCGCTGGCCGAGTGCCCCAAGCGCACCCAGCCCTGCGCCTACTGCTCCAAGGAGTTTGTCTTCGACACCATCCAGGTGAGGCCAGCGGCAGGGGGGACACCCGCGGGGGTGCCAGCAGGGGGGTGAAAGCGGCCCTGGGGAGCGGCTCACCTGTGCCTCTGCCCCCAGAGCCACCAGTACCAGTGTCCGCGCTACCCCGTGCCCTGCCCCAACCAGTGCGGCGCGGGCAGCGTGGCCAGGGAGGACCTGCCCGGGCACCTGAAGGAGAACTGCAGCACGGCGCTGGTGCTGTGCCCCTTCAAGGAGGCCGGCTGCAAACACCGCGTGAGTGCCAGCGCCCCCGCCCCTGCCTGCTCCCTTCCCTGCGCCCCCGCTGATGCCCGCCACTTGCCCCGCAGTGCCCCAAGGTGGCCATGAGCCGGCACGTGGACGAGAGCACCAAGGCGCACCTGGGGCTGGTGTCGGCGCTGGTGAGCCGGCAGCGCCAGGAGCTGCAGGAGCTGCGGCGGGAGGTGGAGGAGCTGGCGCTGGGCTGCGACGGGACGCTGGTGTGGAAGATCCCGGACTACGCGCGGCGGCTGCAGGAGGCCAAGGCGCGCAGCAACCACGAGGCCTTCAGCCCCCCCTTCTACACGCACCGCTACGGCTACAAGCTGCAGGTCTCGGCCTTCCTCAACGGCAACGGCAGCGGGGAGGGCAGCCACCTGTCCGTCTACATCCGCGTGCTGCCCGGCACCTACGACAACCTGCTCGAGTGGCCCTTCTCGCACCGCGTCACCTTCTCGCTGCTGGACCAGAGCGACCCCTCGCTCTCCAAGCCGCAGCACGTCACCGAGACCTTCCGCCCCGACCCCAACTGGAAGAACTTCCAGAAGCCGGGGGCCTCGCGCAGCTCCGTGGACGAGAGCGCCCTGGGCTTCGGCTACCCCAAGTTCATCTCCCACGAGGACATCAAGAAGCGCAACTACGTGCGGGACAACGCCATCTTCATCAGGGCCTCGGTGGAGATCCCCCAGAAGATCCTGGCCTGAGCCCCAGGGACTGAGCCCAGCCACGGGGTCCTGGGGGCCGTGACGGGGCAGGGCAGCCCCCAGCCCCTCGGCGCTGAGCACCCCGGTGTCGTGTCCTCAGGGGCGAATGCTGCACCCGCAGCACGGTGCTAACAGCCGCTGGGGCGCGGCGCAGGGGTTGCGGGGGCAGCGTCGGCCTCTCTGGCCTGGTGCCGGGAGGGGACAGGGCCCGTTGCACCCAGGTGCTACTGGGGATCGGGTCCCCCTGGGATCCGGGGGATGCTGCAGGAGCCAGGGTGACACCAG